GCTTTCACGGCTGGGGAGTGGGTGCCGTCCACGGCCAGCCTGTGGCTGAGCGAGCAGGACTTCCCAGAGGGATACAGCCTGGCCACGGTGAAAGCTGCAGCCCAGCAGCTCTTTGTCCTGCTCCGTCACTGGGATGAAAACCTGGAGTTCAACCTGCTGTGCTACAACCCAAGCAGCGTGTAACGAGGACGAGGAGAGCGGCTTGGGCCGCTTACCAAGGGCGCGGGAGCCGGGACCCATCCGCAAGGAAATGCCTTCAAGTAGCTCAACTCCTCTGCCGCAGGGACAGCCCGTGTTTTTTAAAGCAAGCCCCGCAAACGGCAGCACCTCGTGCAAAACCCCCAGCTCAGCAGTTGGCATTTTGCCCCGGGCGGGTACCCACCGGCTGCCCGCAGTGGGATGCTATATATTTTTAACTGGAGCAGCCCCTCCAGCTACAGCAGGTTTCTTCTGGTTCCCAGCCCTGTTCCCAGAGCAGGTCTCCCTGCTGCCTGCTCGGCTTGCCTTTTCCTCGCTTGGCTGCCTCTTCCCAGCCCCGAATCGCTGCCAAGCCCCTGCTGCCATCCCCCAGCCCCCAGCCACTGCTCTCCTGAGGCTCCTGCCTGGCTTCTGCCGTATCGGATGTCTTGCGATGGAGGTGAACTATCCGACAACATGTCCATCTCATGGACCAAAGGAAATCCGGGCTGAGACTGACCACCTGAGGAGCAGCCCTGCTGTCACGGTCAGGAGGATGCTGCTGTGCCTCGAGCCCAGCGACGCACCCACAGGCCAGGCCAGTCGGAGGCTGGGACCAAACCCCATCCCATCCGATGGGTGCTGGGCTCCCTCAGCCCCTCTGCCATCCCAGAGGGAATTTGTGGGAGCCCTTGCAGCTGACGGCGTGCCTTGGGAGATGGGCAGGCAGAGCCGGGACGCCGGGAATTGAAGGGAAGGGATGGGCTGAGGAAACCAGCCCCCTGCATGTGATGCCGAATGGAGATCCCTGCATCAAAGTAACAGAGGAATTTTATTCCCTGCCAAAATGCTGCATCCTTCCTTCTCTGCCTGAGCCTCCGGTGCGCTGATCTGCTTTCTCTGAACCACAGGGACCTGCCTCTGAATCCAGATGTTGGAAGCTTGCTGGTTTAAGGATGTCTGACCCTCTAAACACCCACCCCCCACCCACCCCCAAAGCTGCTGGGCTTGTGCCAGGGCCCCTGCAGCATCCACCCATCGAGACCCATGGCCAGACCTGCCCTCACCTCAACCCTCCTGACGGGAAGAACCCTCCCAATCCCCAGGGTGACATGAAGCCGTCTCTCTCCCCATCTCCTCTTCTTGCATCCCTGCTGCTTAAAACCCAGAGGCAGCTGGACACAGACTGCATCCCAGGGCCAGTCGTGGGTACCAGGACTCCCCGGGAACCCGGACGAGTTGTTCTCCGCGACGGGCAGCTCTCAGCACGGTGCCGGCTCCGGCAGAGCCCCGCAACACCCAGGAGATTGCTGGGAGCTCCGTTATCCACCGTAATTCAGCAGCCCCGGGGGCACCAGCGGTGCCATGAGGACTGTGGCTTCCAGAGCTGATGGGAAGGAGGAGAGAGGGAGGAGAAGCTGGGAGGGGACACTTTTCAACCAAAAGCTCGCTCGTTACTAGAAGTCAGTGGCATTCCCAAGGGGAAATACAGAGTCCAGGTTTTGGGGGGGGGGTTATTAATTTTTTTAATCTTTCATTTTCTGCTGGAGAAGGGTCTGGGTGGACTTAAACTGGTTTTGTCTGGGGGCTTAGAAAAACCAAAGGAAATGCCGTTGATTCACGGGCACGGGGGGTTTGGCTCCTCTGCCGAGGAGGGATGGGTGAGAAGGGGAGTGTAAGAGCTGAAAACCATCCAGCTGCAGAGAGCAGGGAAACTGGGGGAGGTGGGAATGTGGAGACCGCGAGTATTTTCGCCCACGAGCAAAACCTACCTCTTGTTTTCTGCCTTTTTTCAGCTCCCTGCCCACCACGGCCCCCTCAGGTCCCCGTGACTTTACCAGAGTGGGGTTTATTCCCGGGGTCCCTGCATCTCAGCCCTCCTGGGGTTACTCCTGAGCTGATTTCTGATCCCTTGGTTCTCCTAAAAGACCCAGGCTGCCTCCCTGCAGCTGCCCAGCGCTCTGTTAATCCAGAGCCATCCGCAAAATGTCTCTCCCAATTTTGGGGGCAGCTGGAGTCAACGGATCCCTGGTTCTGCATTCAGGGGCAGCATCGGTGCAGCGCCTCCGACATCCCCTTGGCTTTCAGGGAAGGAAAAGGGGATGAAACAGGTGACCCCGTTTCGGAGCCTGACACTGCTCTTGCTCCTCCATCCCCGACCTGCGCCGTGCACGCTGCCGGCTGCCCAGCTGCCGTGGCCAGCTCGGCATCGGAGGATGCTCCAGGATGGTCCGTGCCAGGACACAAAGGGGGTGAGTCTCCCTAAACCTGCCTCCTGGGACCCCGACAGGCCTGGGGATTCTCTCTCTGCTGATTGTGGAGGCATCGAGCTCGCTGCCCAGCCCCAGTGGCATTGCGCCCTGCCTGGATGGGCTCTTCCACAGGATCCAACCAGCAGCAGCTCCGCGGATCAAGTGCCTACAGAGGGAATCGCACGCCATCGCCTCCGGCGCGGCTGCAGCGCCTGTGAAGCCCGTCCAAAACCTGTTGCCTTTTGCTCCCTCCCTTGGCGTGTAGCAGCCTTGCCCTGTCTCAGCACGTTTCTGTGTTGTGTTTGTGGGGGAAATGGGAGGGAAACCGGTGCCGGAGCATCCCTCCGGTCTCTGCCCTCGATGTCACCTCCCCGGGGTCCCCAGCGTGACGATGCTCTCTGCCCGCCGCGTGCCTCGGCGGGGTCGCGTTCTCTGTGTGGTGTTGTCCCAGTAAATCACAGCCTGCTTGACTGCCCGGAGCGAGTCCTTTGTTTCGGGATGGGTTTCCTGGGGCTGTGCCTTCCTTCTCCCCTGGGGACACCCCACCTGGCTGGAGCACTGTGCAGCTGTCCAAAAAAAACACCCCCAAAGCCCCTATCCTAATTCAGTGCGTGAGTTAAGCGCTGGATTTCAGAGGGGAAGGAGCTTCCTTCAGGTTCTGGGAGTTGTGTTTTGCAAAGCCCCGGCTGCGCAGCGCTTTGTAAGCTGCTGGATCCGGGGTTTGATAAACCAGGAGCAGTCCAGTTCCATTCTTGGAGCAGAGAAACCCTGCTGCCATCTCCATCGCTAGTGTCAGGGCTTTCAGGAATTCACCCCATCACCCGGATCGCTGGAAGGATGCCCAAATCCTCCTGCCTTCCTCCTACACCTGCCTTAATTAGCATCGTTATTACAGGCATTAATAAAGCAGCCAGCATGTTTTCCAACCCAAAGCAGGAGGTGGGAGCTATGTGGCCCCTTGTTTTCCTCTTGGCAAGCAAGGACCCTCTCCGATGCCCTCCTGCATTTGATGACCTACCTATAGACATATATTTTTTAAAAAATCGACATTTATGGCCCAATTTACCCCTCTGGACCAGAGCAGAAGATCCAGCTGTTTCCATCTCATACCCCCACCTTTGCCACACCCCTGTCTGCACCCACCAGGAAAGGGCACTGGGGCAGCGTTGGTGATTTTAATCTAATTTTAATCTAAATTGTTGATTAGTTGGTGATTTTAATCTAATCTAATCCATTTTTTTTCCTTCCCAAATTCTCCACCCTGCCCCAGCACTGCCCCATCTTTGCTGCGCCCTTGGCAAAGCCCCCGAGGATGGAAAACGCTGCGTTCCCCATCATCTCACCCCGGGCTGAGCCAAGGGACCTGCCATGTGCCCAAAAAGTGCCCGGCCGTGCCTGCCCGCTGCGCTGCAGCGGCTCTTGATTGATTAGCTGGCCTTCGGTTGGCTAATTGGGACGCTAATGAGAGCAGGCCTGGCTGCTAGGAGAGGCTGGGAGCTGCCATCTTCTCCAGGGAAGGAGTGGGTCTCCCCAGGAGTGGGGACGGGTGTGTCTGGCCACAGCATCGCCGGGGGGTCCCCCTTTGCATCCAAGGGGATTTTCATCCTGTTGAGTCATCTCCTTAAGGAAGGGTGCCCCGAAGCTGTTGCCAGGGTGACTGCACGTGCCTTATTAGAGAAATTAGTTTGGATACAGTTGTCAGCCACAGCTCAATAAATAACCCCCTTTATGCTGTGTAAATAAATATTTGCAGGCAGCATCCGTGCGGGGAGGGAGAGGCATCCCAGCCTGGGCAGCATCGCGCCGCGATGGGTGCCGAGGGGCCTTTTGAGGAGAGAACCAGTCAAATTGGGGCAGCCCTAGTGCAAAACTGTACCCCTGAGGCTGCCAGTGGGGGTCCTGGGAGGGGATTGTAGCAGCTGGTGGGATGCCACG